TAATGAGTTATGTTACGGTGTATCTGCGACACGTAATGGGTAACGTTATGGTGTATCTGCGACACGTAATGGGTTACGTTATGGTGTATCTGCGATACGTAATGGGTTACGTTATGGTGTATCTGCGACACGTAGTAGTGTATATTCCTCATGTAACTGATGATTCACGCATAATGATTCACCAGCATCGCCCAATGATGTACTTGCTTCAGGTTATGCTGCTTCTGCTACACGTAACGGTGTACCTGCATCACGTAATGATGAGACGACAGCGTGTAATAATGTAACAGCATAATACCACTACATGAATTGGTGGGGTAGTTGTTTATTGTAATCAGATGAGGAATTATAGTCAAATTGAACCACTAGATCATCGATATAAATGTTGCTTGCAAATCGCCAAAGTCACCTGCATGTGAAAAATAAAACTCAATATTGCCAAAGCTAATACATAAGTCCTGTAAGAAGTGTCCTCTACAATATGGTCTTCAGATATTAGTGGGTAAAATGTTTGAAATGAATATGAACGCTACAATGACTAAGAAAATGCTAGTTAACAAAAAATATATCACCGCCAATCACCAAGCTTGAAAGCGACAATGGAAGACAAGTTAAACTGTAACGCATTTAGGCAATTAGTGAGAATTGACGGTAGAATACAAAAATTATAAGAATGGCCAAGTCTGCGATTAATAACAATATTAACAACAAGGTAGCTCGATATTAATATTAAATCACAATTTTCAAATATTATGTTTTATCCACCTTATAGTATGGGCGTGACACATGGATCTAAAATGGATTAGAAACAAGAATTGATGACTTTGAATATAGGCTTAATGTCAAATTCTGAAAATATCAGAAATATAGTGGAAAATAATCAAATTAATATAAATATGGGAAAAAGATCACTAGTTTTAATCTTTAAACAGGAAAATGCATATTTTGGGCACAATTTGAGGAAGGGGAATTCTTAAAAAGCCAATTTAATAGAAACGATCAGAGAGGCAGGGCTAGGAAAAAGTAGATAGGTAATATCAGCATTGAATAGCTGGAAGCACAGCCAATGTGTCAGGAAGACATTGTATAGAAACGGCTTGCGTGGATTACCCCCCCCCCCCCCCAACGCGAAACAGAAGCAGATGGTGATGAGCGCCATTGAGTGACGATGCGCTCCTGTGATGTAAATAGGTGTAAGGGGTGACATTGCGTACTGTCATCTGAGACATTCGAACATCAGAGTACTACTTCGACTCTAGAAGCTTTTTGGAAAATATGTATTGAACTACATTTTAAAAATCATAATATATCTAATTCGATAACTCATTGGATGCAATTGTGATGTTTATATATAATAGTTAGTGTAAATCTGTGGACAATTACTGATTCATCTAAACTATATTTTAATTTAGAAATAATAAATGTATTGTGTTGAAAAAATAATTCAGAGTGGAAAATAGTTAATTGTCACGTTTATAGCTTCTAAATTAAACTAAAAATATCACTCATATGCATATAATAGGTGAACTGACAAGATATATCAAGAGCGCATGCCTCAACGTGGTCGACCTTTACGACCTACTGCGTATAAACTTATAGGAAAACGCCTGGCTTACTGACCTTTCTACTTATGTAAATAGCTCGTTACCCCATTATCCGGGTTCATATAATATACATGTCTGGTTATTGGCCTTATTACATATATATTAACGTAACCGTTAAGGTAAATGTCCAACATTCAATTTCAAGTCGACAACTGGGAGGTGAGTATGTTATTATTAATACGTCTGTGGTAGTCTAGCATATCGTTTCAGCGTATTAATTGCAGACCATACTTTTTGCAGTACGTGCTTAATTGAGGCAAACGCCATTTTGATACAAAACATAGAGCGTAACAACAAAACTAGGTCGTTAAATTTAAAACCATTCAGTGACGAGAATATATGTCATATTGGTATACACTAAATCTAAGATTAAAATCTAAAATATAATCACAATATAATGATGTAGACAACAGTCGGTCGAACAATTCTAGAGTTACGTGCCAAACCCGGTGCCCCTGGCTTATTGCACAATATTACGATTGCGGTAAATGTAAACAATGACACGTTTTACACCAGTGGTTTCAATTATAGAATGTCTAATTGTAATGAAAATGTATTCTATGTATAAAGAATGAAGTATGTGTATTCAAATTATAGTTGTTGTTCTACGTGCCAACCACGACCGTTGATAACATTTATTACCTGCATGAAGGCACTACATGTTGATCAAATTTGTACGAATTGTTCAGGATTAATGATTCACATGTTCATTTAAAAGTATACGCAGTATAATTACATCTCAGTAAAAATGGATGACACCAATATCATCGTTCTTATATGATAGCAATGTTCAAGTGACCTCAGTGTTAATGTGCTTTAGTTACCCTGGACTATGTCACGCAACTCTGCATATACGCCATTTTGTTTTAGAAATTACGATCACGTTTCTCTCACCCATACCTTGTGCATAGTTAGCTAACTGAAGTAAGCTAGAACCGAAATCGTGCCGCTGTTCGCGTAGGTTGTGAGATCAAGAATAATCACGAAAGCTTGTTTTCATTCAACAAATTTTATTCCACATAAAATTAACGGTGAGCAACTTGACCTCCTTTATCGCAAGTCTGCCCTAGATAAAGGTCGGCGTGTGTCAAACACGATAACACTGTATTTGTTTGAATCGATTATAATAAAACGTTTCTGAATTCCAGACGTGTAAGCCCATGTATATTATAACAAAAAGTCATTCCTTTTTGAGAGTATTTTTTATTTCATAATTTAAAATTGTCGGTTACAAAAAAGTTCGGTTAAATCACCCATAGTTGTTTATTTACCCGTGATCACATGGCATTAAGGGCAATGTTATATATAGAATAAATATGTAATTTAAAAATATAATAGAACGTGACATAACGGCGCCGTTAATAATTAACCTGTGAATGACCCGCGCCTTATCAATACCATAGCGTAACTATTGTAACTTTTCCCATGTACTGTGCTGTCAATCTGGTTATATATCTTACTTATATCAAATGTTCAAATGTTCGTGTTCCAATACGATGCGTACATCTAGTGTGAAGTACATTATTTGCTTGATGGAATTTTGAACGGATTGCACGAGTCACCCATTTGATGGCAGGTTTTCAACCAGTTAAAGTGAAAATCATTTGTGAAAAACATTCGTAATAATTTTGACAACCAAAAGCAGTCATTGTATAGGTACACATGATTTGTTTTTGATTTGTTATATTGAGTCTTCTGAAGCAAAATTGTTTAAATCAAACATTATTATAAAAACTACTTGTGATTATTTATATTACTATTCAAACGAAGTCAATTCTAATGGAAACACGATTTCAGATTACTGTTCGTGATAATCCTCCAGTTATAAATTTATTCAAAACGTTTCTTAGCTCAAGAACATATCACTGTCCAATACGAAATCAGATATTTCGAAAATATGTAAGTTAACATAATTTTATTACAGTGAGTACTTGGTGGCCTAATCTTCAATGTGTGAATCAGTTGTCTAGTTTAAATGCACAACCTGTACATTATAAAACATAATTTCTACGAATTCTACTTGTAAAGTAGAAATAACACCATTTATACTCAATCCAAACACTCGGAAAAAACAAACAAATCATGGAGTTCGAAATAAGCCAACACATTGTGTTCACATGTGCAACCTGTAATATATTATATCCATAATCAGGGTCACGATTAGTCATTAGTTGGTCGCATGGAATTATATAGAATTACACATATAATAAACTATTATAGTTCAACAGACTATTCGTAACCACGCATGCGCAAACATTGCATTTTATACGCATATTTAAATCTAAGCAGACGACGGAATTTCATGTTTTGTACTTTTGACAGGCAAGGAATTGCAAATGACCAATATGGCCATGGTGAAGAGTCTAATTTCCTGCCACTATGTAAAACCGGTGATATCAAAACAAAATCTGATTTGTGTCATAAATTTGGATATAAACCAGTTGCGCACGCTCGGACACGTGAACTTAGCGACTTAGTGAATCCCCTAGTTTGAGCCATATACCATGACAATTGATAACTCAAGTAGACTATCAATAAACTAGAAGTATGGCTTAAGTCCAATGGCAACATCTTTCTTACATTGTATGAAAATTGGTTCATAAGTTGTTAGTTATTATGCTGGTAGACATGTGCCAGTAAACGCACAAACTCCTTAGCGTAAATAAATATTATTTACCAATTTTACAAAACTATGCAGTATTTCAGTTGGCAACACCGTAGAAGAAGTCGAGAGTAATCTTCAATCAAACTTATTCTACTTTAACGAGTGTTTTGGAAATAAGAACAATCACTAACATTGACCAAGACCTATATAAGTTGAACTGATTTTATTGAACGTACAACTATCACATCCACAATCAAATAATTTTAGATATGCACTTATATTGTACATCATCTAAGTGTCATTGACCTTGAACTGCTCTTTGTAACTAAAAGACTCGTTATGTATGCAAACAAACTTTTGAATGTTAAGTGAGAAATTTATGTTATTATAACATGAAGTGTAATAACATTTATATTATTTTTTCAGGATATGTCATACTTACCGAAAAGATGTTTTCGAGCAGAGAAAAAACAAGAAGAGCGAATTTCCATCGAAGAATGCTTAGATGAAATTATACGAAAGACGGACAATGAACCAGGTACATCACTATGTTACCCGAACTAACAACAATCTATTTCATCGAGTCAGACTAAATACATAGCATTGTATTCAAATGTACCCCAAAACTGATGCCAGATATTTTGAAAATTCGTACTTTTACTTCTTATTGTTTTATTATAGTCGATCTATCAACAAGGATCACGGCAAAATCATCATATGAAAGAAAGTACACCTATGGCCACGTCACAGCGACAGGAAACCAGAGTTGTGAGATAATGCATACACCGACATGTACAGGTAAGTCTCTATTATGTGCATTGCAAAATACCTAACACGCGAGACTTGTTCTTCCACTAAAACGATGTCTCATTCTCATGTCTCATGTTAAAATTTAAAGAAGAGCGATGACGGCAGAGTATAGTACATTATTCATGTGTTAAATATCTCGTGGCTCTCAAGTTGAATGAGATCTAGACGAATAGATGGGTGTAAGGTATAATTGCGATAATATTTAAAAATAGATAAGTCCAATACAAATCTCTGTTTTTGTAGAGGGAATGTGAGGATAAAGGATAACCTTTAGAATTATTAAATATGCTAACATAGTTAAGTTTGATATAGCATCTTGATAAACATATTTAAAGTATGATTGATTATAATATATATAATAATGATTTGGCTGAAAACTTGTTTTAGTCATTTGTACATACTGGTACATCCGGGACACATACCATTAAAATTGATTGGTGTGTCAACGAACAAATAACAGTCTATTTATTTTATGAAAAATCATACTGTATATTTCAACAAGGAAGTGTTATCGAAAAATTAAATTACTTAAACATGTTCACAAATGCTAAAATGTTTACGAATATTTTCCTTTCTTTTCTTTCAAAAATTGTGATTCTTTCAATTTTTTCTTTTCAACACAATGTGACTTTTACGATAAATGCCACATAGTGAATAGATTAATACTTGTTTTTTTCACAGCTGTTCACATGAACGCACCATACTCAAATGCCGGTACATCAGTGGCGCACGAGCATTGGCCGAAGAAGAAATATACAGCAATATTTGAGCAAATGTCAGACACCATGAGTCATATAAGCAGTGCTGGTAAAAAACAATGACATACAATATGCATTATTATTATTTTTTCTAATGTCATCTCTTCATACTGAACACATATCATATCATATTTTTCCCAACCAAATGATAGAATGTGAATCGAGTGCAGTTGGAAATAGAAATTCGTTGCATTTTAATCTAATTTAAATCTAACTTGTATTCACTTCAGATAATCCAGCTAAACACACGACTAAAACAACTGATATGCGCCTTGGGACGACCTCTGAAAAACATAACGATAACACAACGCCCCAGCCCAGAAAACAACAAAATAAACACACAATTTTGAAAGCAATGCTGAATGCAAGTCTTGACACAGGTTAGTTGATTAAGGGCATCGAACAGAGTGTTTAGAATTGTTTTTACATTATTGTATTCAAAAGCATAATTAATGAACTTATATATTTGTATTTCCCAATAATCAAATGTGTAATAATTCAGACACCTATTTTTTTTTATCAGACTTGTCAGCTTGGGCAAAACATAAGCCTGGTGAACCTATAGTAGAGTCCACAGGACAATCAGACATTCATGAAGAAACAAGACTTCCTTCTCCTACACTATCGGGTAACTACCTTCAAATTTGTCACATATGACCTATAAAGGAAAATGCATTATTATTTACAAATTAGTTCTGGTCTTTTAAACAGAGTTACTCAGAGGAGGTAGCCACAGTACACAATCAACGGAACGCCGATCAAAGAGAAAATACTCGGAAATTGATCAAGATGGTGTGATTCAAGACAACAATAATGTATTAGGTAAAAATCTAACAATAATATTACAAAGGTAACTTTGTCACAACTTGTGAATAACTCACTATTCACTATGATTCTTCTATGATTTTTCCTCAACTGCTAACTGCTCATAATTTCAGTATATTTGCCGCGAAATGTCACATCCCGGACAATTAAGCTTGGAATATATATATATATATGTTTTCCTAATTGGTCACAATCTGGGATGGTGTCATAATACAAGAATGTTTACAACACAGATAAAGAACAGTGTGCACATCAAGTATCCAAATGCACAATTGATTATCAGTATAGACACTAATATTATTATGAGCATCACACTAAATTGTCCCTGCCAACAATATTCACGTATGCTTATATTTTTCGCACACAATTTCAACAGACTTAGTAAGTCCATCATGTTTGCGGCCATATTCACCACATCATGACACATATTGGTTATGCACCTGTTGTATTAACAAGTGAGAGCTATCATCTCATTCATTCATTTATTTATTTATTTATTTATTCATTCATTCATTCATTCATTCATTCATTCATTCATTCATTCATTCATTCATCCATTCATTCATTCATTCATTAGCAATGCAAATTACATCCGGGGTATTGATCATATTAGCACTATGATAACATTCAATGGATATGGGCCAATATACTTAATTTTTTTTATGTAAGAACTAGAATGAATGGTATTCATTTATTTGCAAATAGAGTGACCTGTGGGAAGGGTGTCCTCTTGAAAATGAATTGCTGTATGTTTGTATGTACCAGTTAAGCTGACATGGTGGTAAAATGAGCAACATGTTCTTGATTTGATAATTAGCAGCAGGGTGTTCATGATGGTGGTAGTCATATTAAATATGTGATAGACCAGTGCAGTTGTCTTATTTGTGTAATATCCAACACGCTGTAGATTTGCAGTGAGGATGACCCTCATTCCCTCCGCTTAAATTACATGCAATCACATCGTCATTGCTGATGAATGTACGATGATGTTGATGGGCACCGGTCTTGTGAGAGTTGTGCTTGTGTTTGTTTTATTATTTACCTGACTTGGTTAACGAATCATTATGTCTTTATATGAACGTTCTTATATTTCAGGTTATGAAGTGCTGGGTACTCTTGGTGTTACCAACTCGAAGAAGCGGTATTTCATATCAATGGCAGAAATACACAGAAGAATAAGTAAACCCGAAAATATGAGTGAAAACGGACTCTGTTGTTTTTTAAAGGTATAAAAGCGCCTATTCTCAGTAATCGTGTTATGTAAACACAAATGATTTAATACTTTACATTTAACTTATTAATTTCATAAAAATATGTTTATATTTTACATACCTGTTGAATTGTTGTTAATATGAATTGAAAATAACCAAACAATTATGTTTTTGTAGCGTGTTATTGCTATTACTTCACTTCGTCTTCACTTCAATAATTGTATTAAATCTTTGTTCTTGAAATCCATCAGCTGTATTGCTGAGTGTAATCCGGATTTATGTCTGATATATATTTGGGTTGAGGGGAAAGGAATGCACGGTTACATAATTGGTTCAACTACGTCACGCCCATTATTATTATTGTTCACATTGCCATTCTCACCTTGTTATATCACACACTATTGGGTAGTGCGCCATTCTTTATTCCCTGAGTAACTGTTTAAATAAACGCCATGGGGAATATACTGTTACTATTGCATCAGATCACTAGTTTTTATTACACACAATTTACTGATTATTTGGCTGAACTATTTTTTTTCGATCTTACTGACCAGCGCCGAAGGGGATCATTGCCTCTGGGATGTCCAAAACCGAAACCCCGACAACGCGGCGACATCACGCCATTCTCTTCACTATGCGAAGCAGAGCTAGGCGACCTCATACTAGCGTATAAAGAGTGCTTGACAAAATACGTGGAGGGGCAGAAAATTATTGAAGGTGTGGAGAAAAGTACCATACCGCATTTGATGTATGTATTACACACATCTATCATATTTATATTTCAAATATTGTCTTCACAATGTATAATTTATGTAGTATTAACTGCCTTGCAGCGAGGGCTAATATAATATTACACATGTTTATGTTACAAAAAGTGAATTTATATCTAAAAAACGACCAATACAGATTTATTTACTTTAACAATTTTTTATAGTTTTCAGGAACAAGTAAAAATGTATCAGTAGAAGGGCGCCCTCTACTATAAGTATAAATTTCTTGAAAAAAACACATTTTTGTACATATAGAAATGAACGCTTTTTCGAATATTAATTTACTTTATTAGTATGTAAATTGACGCTTCTAGCATATGCCTTTACATTTTTTCAAATATAAATTTTCCTTTTTGAATAAAAATGTGTATTTTAGAAATATAAATTTACCTGTTCCTAATATTAATATGTATTTTTGGAATCTAAATTTTATTTTTGAATATAAATTTGCATTTTTTAATATAAATACATTTTGTGGAATATAAATATACATTATTTTTTTATGAATACTGAAACACTTTCACTTTCACTTTTTTGTAAGGAGAAGCAGGACTTGTTTATAGCGGATTTAAAACTTCCAGATTGACAATTAAGAAATGTCTCCACATATTCTGTACTACGCCTTTGTAGTATTTCTATTGCGCGTTGTGTTTAATCTGTGTTGAAATAATCCTAATTTTGATCTTCACAGACAAGCCCTCAGGAAGATTCTACTAAATGTCCATTTGGCATGTCGACCATCCAGTGATTTCCAAAGAATGACACACACCTTTGGTGCTAAGATGTTAGAGTCGGTGCTGACCTATCTCATGTCCTGTCTTAACCAATATACTTTTCAAGAACAAACTGAGCAATAATAGGCTGTGATGGAGAATGGGAAATGAGAAGCGTTTTATAACAGCGTATCTGATTCGCTAACCTAATTCATAAACAGCAAGCCAATCATAACAAACACGTTGCTTGATTAACGAAAAATTGTGAATGTTAAAATGCGTCGACTATATGACAAAAACGATTGATTGTTATCATTTTTTGAGTGTTTGATAATGATGGGCCGGACATGATTTCTCATTCGCTACAAAAATATATGAAATGAAGTTGACTTTGACGCTCATATGTTTAAATGAGTAAATAACCATTGAAAAACTCAATACAAGACGAACTAAAATGGTGTATTGCTACCTTCTATTGCTACAACGATGTTAGTAACATGTATGTTTGTGGGGCTCTAATGATGCACGAACAATGAGCAATTAACTCAATGCTTAGAATGACAATAAAATGATTACGTAATTCCGCGAGTCGCGTTGGTGTTCTTTTGTATTTGAGCCGCAAGTGAGCCGAAGAGTACCATCCGGATGTTGCAATGCACCACGGGTGCAAATGATTTAATTAAAATATGTTTCAATTATATTGCAAGTGCGCAATTACATACACACGCGAACTGATAGCATTACTGCTTTATCTTTACATTTCACCTGATACACAAAGTTAGGACTAGTTGACTGAGATAATACACCACTTGCATTATAAACATCCTACTATTCCTGAAACAAGATATTTTGAGTGCACTTATCAGAGATTATCATATATATTTGGCAAATTATATTAACCGATTACATATTGTATATGAACTCAATTCACAATAATCAATATTTTTTCATTAAGTATAATACGTACATTGTAGTGGTGGGGTATTCAACGAATAAAGACAACTATAGAGTAATTTTCGTATAAGTTATTCCAACTAACAAAAGACCACGCCTCAAATCACACCAATTGATAAAATATATTCCTCAGCAGTGTCACAAACTGCACTTTGCTGAATACGCACAGATAGGTTCTGTCCAGAAACAATAGTTATTAATATAATATTTAACATACCAAAACATGTTTGAGTTTGAGAAGAAAAATGTTCGTTAATTCTGTCAGGGGATATGATAAGAGTGCCTTAATTTCGATTTTATCATGACAGTACACTGAAGATCATGTTTTGACGGCATATTTTGATGCATAATACGCAACAACTGTGGCACGACATACGTCCTTGTTACTACGCATAAATAAACGGAAACAATCCGACATAGGTTATTAAATGTCTCCAAATAACGTGCATATTCTTTTTTCGATTAAATTAATTACTGTTATGATAATACGTCATAAGTGTATCCCGTGTAAACAGATCACAAATTAGCAACATTTATATAATATTTGGCGATTGTTATTGAAATATATAGTCACTGTGTATACTGCTGACGAATACAAAGAGCAGTATAGTAATTTGAAGAGAATTTGTCGACGACCCTATCTTTGAAGTTTTATAATAACGGAGTATTTCCTGGCGTGGATTGAAGGGAAATTAAACTGCCATATGGTACTTATTCCCGACTCGAATGTCTCCCTGAGTATCCGTTGATAAGCCGTAGACGTAAATGGTTCTCAAGATTGAAAAGGTCAAAAGAATTATTTGCCCCCAAACAGTGCTCCAATCACTTCCGTCATAAAATTACCCACTACCAGGAAACGTCATTCTGAGAATGTGCCTATTGACCACTTTAAGACACCCATGTGACGGATCTGTTACGATAACTTATAAGGTAAACTATAACTTAATATACTTATAATATAAACCAGTTATTGTACGGAAGTTCTTCAACGGTGAATATATACGATGGCTATGTGGCATGTTCAGTATTTTTAATCTGATCGAGGTAGGGGTGTATACTCTCATACTTGCAACGCGGTATTCTGAACGTCATTATGATATGTTTACACAGGGTCCACACTGCACATACAGAAGACACACTCGCCTTGCACTGTATATCATGCTTGGACGGAACTGTCACATAAAATGGGAAATTTCCACAGAAGTTAACAATGTATTCCTGCGATAGACGGCACTTCATAATCGAGCCATGTTGACGTCCTAATTACATATATTATGTGCCGAGCGAATGCTTTGTCCCATGCAGTGAATGTAATCTTTTCAATTTCCTTCTGTCACTTGTTTTTATTTACTTGTACCGAACCAAGCAGTCAGGCAAGGTCAACGTCAGAATACGCTATTCCAGTACCTACATTTGTGCGGCATTTTTTATATTTGCAAATGAACTTGAATATAGCTTCCATTTTCTTCAAGTTTGAACCTGTCACATTCGTCAACTTAAACCATTTTTTTTTGGACACTTAAGTGTTACTTGGTGCCAAATTCAATAGAGTTGAATGGCTGCAGGCAAATCTAAGACAATACATATTTCATATGAAACTCACCCTCTCGCAACTTCTTCGTTTTTCCGTGATGTCATAGCAATGCTTCCTTGCTAGAGGGCACACCAAGCCGGAAAATAAGAAACTGTCTCCTTTCTTTCAAAATACTGTGAAGTACTTTATTTCCACTTGAATGAATTAGTGAAAATAACATTATAAAAAAACTGTTTTTTTCAGTGGAAATTAATTCCAGCTACGACATAACATTCTACAGTAGGTAGAGGCAAAACTGTGAAGTATTATGTTCAAGTTATTGTTCAAGGTCGTACCAAAGAAGACTGCTGTTGTTAAACTTAGACATTTTACATGCAGTAATCAGGTCAGATATTTAAACCATTACATTTCTGGTAGCATTAACAATTAGCGCCTGTAAATGCACGATTATGATTGAATGGTATGACATGACAATGTAATACTATGAGGTTATTCCGAAGATACCTCAAAGTATGCACGAAGACAGTACAGTGGCAGTATCGAC